CCATGGACATGCTGGACCCGGGTCTGGATCCCGCTGCCTCGGCCACCACTGCTAACGCCGCCAGGTAAGAGCGCCGGACCGGGCCGCGCCCCGCGCGCCTGGGCCCCGGCCCTTTGGCCTATTGGCCGGGCCGCCATGATCCCGAGCGGCCGCGGGGCCCAGCTCAAAATGGAGGCTGCGAGGGAGGGGGAGCCAGCGCCCGGTAGTCGGGGCCCCCACCCCGGCCCGAGCGGCGCCCCGGCCCCGGCCCGGCGGTCCAGAGGCCCTGCACCTGAGCCCAGGGGCGGGGGCGTGGACGGCCCTGACCCCCTCTTCCCTCCGCCCTCCCTGCAGCCACGACAAGGGACCCGAAACAGAAGAAGGTGTCGAGCTGCAGGAAGGTGAGTGCACGCGGGGCTGCGGCTCGCGCCCGGAGAGGGGGCTGGGGCTCCTGGGTTCGGCCGGTGCGCTGACCATCCCCCCTGCCCTTCTCCCACCGACGACAGGCGGGGACGGCCCTGGGGCTGAAGAGCAGACGGCGGTGGCCATCGCCAGCGTCCAGCAGGCGGCGTTCGGCGACCACAACATCCAGTACCAGTTCCGCACAGAGAATAATGGAGGACAGGTGAGGCGTGGGGCCGGGAGCTGGGTGGGCAGGCAGAGGGGCGGGCAGCCGGATGGGTGAGCGGAGTGCTGGGAGGGGGCTTGGACCTGGCCCTGTGCCTGAGCCCCAGAGCCGGCTTCGCTGTTCTGCCGCCCCCTGCAGGTGACATACCGTGTAGTCCAGGTGACTGATGGTCAACTGGATGGCCAGGGTGACGCGGCTGGCGCGGTCAGTGTGGTGTCCACGGCTGCCTTCACTGGGGGTCAGCAGGCCGTGACCCAGGTGGGTGTGGACGGGGCAGCTCAGCGCCCAGGCCCCACCGCTGCCTCTGTGCCCTCAGGTCCCGCAGCACCCTTTCCTCTGGTAGGTGCCCAGCAACCCAGGGGGATGGAGGGTCACTAGCTTTGGGATTGGGAGGGAGGGAGAGCAATTGGATCACAGGGCTCCCTTTAGGCTATGGGACTTTGTGAGATAAAATTCGTTATCTGCCAGGTGAAGCCTTAGGCAAGATCTCTCCAGGCCTCAGTTTGTTTTCTTTAAAACAAGCCTGAGGCGGGCAGGGCAGTCTCGTAGAGATAAGAAGGAAGGGCCAGCAAGTCATTGCTGAGTATCTGCCAAGTTCCAGAACTGTCTGGGCTTGCGGAGACAGAGTGGCACACAGAGATGTTCCCCTCTCCCCACAGAAAATGTTATAAACGTCAAACACACCAACAAGGAGTGCTGGCCCCATCGTCACAGAAAGTGTCATAAACATCTACTGTGTCAACAAGGGGATGAGATGGGGGGAAAATAGTGATGGGTGGCCTCTGTCCTATACCCAGGCTGTAATCCAAAACCCCTTCAGTAATGGTGGCAGTCCCGCAGCCGAGGCTGTCAGCGGGGAGGCGCGCTTTGCCTATTTCCCAGCCTCCAGCGTGGGAGATACTACGGCTGTGTCGGTACAGACCACAGACCAGAGCTTGCAGGCAGGAGGTAAGTGGAACCCGGGACTAGGACCGAGGGCAGGGGAGGCCACAATCCTAGCAGGGAGGGAATTCCCCCCAACCAGTGCCAATTCTGTCCCCATCTGTGACACAAACCCCGATTTTCCTGCAGGCCAGTTCTATGTCATGATGACCCCCCAGGATGTACTGCAGACAGGAACACAGAGGACGATTGCACCCCGGACGCACCCCTATTCACCGTATGTACTAGATCCATGGGTTCATGTTCAGGAGACACTGGGAGAGTCTGATGTTGGATCTAGTGGAGAAAGAAATTTCTTGGGATGGGACTTGAACACACAGCAGGCAGGCACTGGGCATATTTGTTCTTTTCTTTCTGCCTGTCTTGTGTAAAGGGATCACCCTTTCCTCCCTCTTTCTGAATGTGGATTTATCTTACAGGGGTCATTTTTGAGGCTTATTGAGTACTTGAGTAAGTGGTACTTGAGGTAACGTGTCTTATTTTTTTTCTCTCTTCCAGGAAAATCGATGGAACCCGAACACCCCGGGATGAGAGAAGGAGAGCTCAGCACAACGAAGGTAAGGGCAAGGTGGGGCTTCTGTGTGAGCTCAGGCCGCCACCCTCACAAGTTGGTCCTGGTGTTTGGAGTCACAGAGAGGGAAGCAGCTGTAGCTTATTATCATACCTCCAGGTGCTTGATGCTTATTTGTTAAATGCTAGAGAATTGAAAGTGAGCGGAGAGGGTGTTGAGCTCAGCGTTGGGAACTCTTCGGCAGGGGCATGAACTGAGACAGGTGTTGTATCATGCGTAGGTGGTGATTTGAATGAATGGCTGACATCCAAAATGGGAGATGGCCTATTATATTATAGACTTGTGGTGATCTGGCTCCTTTAGATGTGGCTGCCATTGCAAGAGCAGAGGATACCCCTGGTGTCTAGGCCCCCACCTGGCTCCCAGCTGCCCATCCTTGTGCTCCCATTCCCTCCTTGCAGTGACTGCCTGGATTGCGGAGGTTTTGCTAGTCAGACACTTGGGGAAGCGGCTTTTGGCTAGCGGAGACCAGAGCCTCTGCCCAATAAACACCACATCCTACTCTGTAGTTCACTGCACCTCTTAAGCTGTTCCCTAGTCTCAAACCAGCAAGTGCCAGAGGGACACTTAGACCCAAACAACTGTCACTCCGCAAATATTCACTGACGGCAGATTCCGGCCTGAGCTGCAGATGCCCTGTGCTGCTGGGTCTGGAGACTGGTCTGAAGTGTTCAGGGTGCCCAGGAGAGGGAGGGGTTGTGTCTGACTGATGAGGCGGTCTGGTGAGGGTCCCCAGAGAAGTGGCTGTCAGACCTAGGGGAGCACAGAGAGGGAGACACAGTGAGGTCCAGTTGCTTCGGCAGGGCTTGTTTGGTCATGGTGGAGGATCTGTGTAGAGTCAAGGAAAGTTTTGAACGCCATGATGAGGTTTCAGGAGTCAATATGGAGAGGGGATGGGTGTTGGACCAGGGAGCCTGTGGCTCAGACAGCTTGCTGAGTTCGGATACAGTGGCCAACAGGACTGAGAAATCAGGATTTCATCAATCAGGGAGGGTAGCATGATGGGTCCTTATGGGAGAGATGTCAGGGGAGAGCTGATTTGAAGGGAAGAGATGTCTGGGCCTGGTTATGGGTAAAGTGAGTTTGAGGATCTCCAGTGAGCTCCCTTGGCATTCCTGGCCCCACGTACTGACCACTTGACCATAGACTAACCCCTGAACTCTGCACCTGCTTCCTTCTTGGTGAGTGCTGTCAGCATAGCTACCCTAGAGGCTCAGAGAGGATGCAGTGAGGAGAGCTGGGAGACCCACTAGCAGAGGGGCTGCTGCCCCACGCAGAGTGAATGCACTAAGCAACTTCAGTGGGACCACCCAGCTGCCCTCCTCCACCCAGCTGTCAGACTCTCGCTGCCTTAAACTACTTCCGAACAGTCTTCGCATCTTTCTCAGACTATAAAAGCCATAGTTTTATTAACCAGGCAGATCTTCATGATGCTGTGGGTGTTGTGAAGGAGCTCTGGTAGCGTAGTGGTTACGCGTCGGGCTGCTAATCTCACTGCCCGCAGTTCAAAACTACCAGCTGTTCAGAGGGAGAAAGATGGGGCTTTTTGCTGCCGTAAAGATTTACAGCCTCAGAAGCCCTGTGCAGGGTCACTATGAGTTGGAAGTGACTCCTCGGCACATAACAACAACAACAGTTCTCATGGTGCTGTGGGTTGGTTACACATTGAGCTGCTCACCACAAGATCGGCGGTTCAAACCCTCCATCCACTCACTCCTCAGGAGAAAGAGGAGGCCATTGGCTCCTGTAGAGGTAAACAGGGTTGCTGTGAGTCAGAATTGATGCAATGGCATCTATTGTAGAATATTTGAGCCACCCTTTGCCCATCCCCCGGTACCCTCTGCAGACCGGCTCATTTCTTTACCAAATGACTCTGTTTAAGGTCACTGATGACGATGTCATTGCCAAATCCACTGGCGTCCTTTCCTGTCTGAGCTCCAAGCTTCTGACCCTGTCTATTCCCTTCCTTTCGGGAATGTTCCATTTTACACTATCCTCTCCAGTTCTATACGCTGCCTCTTCCTGTCCTGTCCCACAAAACAAGCTTTCCTAAACCTCCCTGGGAAACTTGTTTAAAATCAAGCTCTCCTCAGAACTCTCCCCAGGAGCTGCTGGCTGAGTAGGTCACAGAAGAGCCAGGAGTCTGTGTTTTCAACAAATTCCCCAGGAGGTTCTTCCATCTGCGTGAGCCTGAGAAACTGCTCTGACTGGTGGTGTGCCTTAAGGTCTAGCCACCCTCCTCCATCTGCCTCAGACGTGTGAAACTATAAGCCCAGGGGCTGGCTCTCAGAAGCTCTTGTCAGTATCTCCAAAACCCTGATCTTCAATTGCAGATATTTGTTATTTTTCTGAGCTGGGGTGGGGAGTCTGCTAGTTTCCTCTGGAAGAGGGTCTGTGACCCACAAAAAGATGAGAGGAGGACTGCTTCACTGTGTCCTCTTAGGATTTCACCTGCCACTCAGGCACAGGGCAGGCCCAGTGTGCCATGCTTCTTTCTGGGACTCCAGAACCAGATTTAGAACCCATTCAGAATCTCCATTGCTGGTTCTCCTTGCCAAGGTACCTCTGCCGGATTTATCCCAAACAAAATTTAACCATCTTCCCTCCCCGGCGGCTCCCATGTGTTACTGCTCTTTCTGGAGTAATGACTCCCTTCACCGTTAGCCAAGCCAGAAATGCTAGCTAGCTACTATGTGATTGGGTCCTGATGTGGCGCTGTGGGCTGATGTGCCAGACTGCGAAGCTGTTTGAACTGCAAGGTTCAAGCTCACCAGTTGCCCCTTGGAAACCCTATACAGGATTGGTATGGGTTGGAACCAACTCGACGGCACTTAACAACAACAACATTGTTGGGTGCCATTGAGTCGGTTCCAACTCATAGTGACCCTGTGCCCAAGAGAATGAAACACTGTCTGGTCCTGTGCCATCCTCATAATTGTTGTTACGTTTGAGCCCATTTTTACTGCCACTGTATCAGTCCATTTCCTTGGTGGTCTTCTTGCTAGACTGCAAGGTCAGTTTGAACCGTAAGGTCAGCGGTTAAGTGTCATTCAGTCCGTTCCACCTCATAGTATAGGTTTTCCTAGGAGCATCTGGTGGGTTTGAGCCGCCAACCTTTGGTTAGCAGTTCAGTGCTTACCTTACAGTGCCACACTAGGACTTGGATCTGTGCTGTTGTTGTTAAAGTGCTGTTGAATTGATTCCGACCTATAGCGACCCTGTGTAGGATTTCCAAGGAGCAGCTGGCGAACTTGAACCACGGACTTTGCAGTCTGACGCATTAGCCCACAGCGCCACCCCAGGCCTCCAGGATCTGTGCTATGGTGGCTTTCAAATCAGCTTCCTGGTTCCCAGTTCCTCATTTTCCCAGCAATCCATGATACTGCAGGGGTCAAAGAGAACAAACTGCTTGATGTGTTGGAAACGGGGGTGGTGGGCCACTGGTGAACTGGGACACATGTGTCTTGCATGAATGAAGGACAACCCTTGCCCAGCACAGAGTTTTGTCAGAACGGAGCCCACTGTTTCCAGAACTTTGGAGAAACCAGAAATCTAGATCTTTATATGAAATCTGATCTTTAAATGCTGGATTGCATTGTGTTTTTCTGTTTTACTGGCTTCTGTTTTTAATGTTACACATTCATTCTTTGGGTTTAATTTGCCATATTTCCTACCTTCCTCTCTCCCCCAGCTTTTAAAGGTGATTTTGAGCCCTTTTCATTCTAATTATAAGTGTTTACAATTGTAAATTTCTCTGTGATACTTAGCTGCCTCCCATTTAATATGTTATATTTTCAGATCAAATAGTTTCCAATTCTCCTTGTGATTTCCTTTTTTGACCCCTGAGTTGTTGAGAAGAGTGTTACTTAATTTCAAATTATTTGTGACTTTTCTGGATAGCTGTTTGTTTCTGTTTTAAATTTCTTTCAATTCTTTCGTGGTCAAAGAATTCCAATCCTTTTGACATTTTTTTGATACTTATTTTATAGCCGGGGAGTCCTGGTGACCCCAACAGTTAAGCACCGGACTGCTAATACAGATGGGCTGTTTGAACCCTTCAGCTGTTCTCTGGCAACCTGCTTCCATAACCATTCTTGCTAGGGGAGCCCTACGGGTCACGATGAGTCAGAACTATTCCATAGCATCCAACAGCATTAAGAATATGGTCTATCTTGGTCAAAGTTCCTACATGCACTTAAAGATAATGTGTATTCTTTCTGCTGCTGTTAGATGGAATATTCCAGGAGTTTCATTTAGGTCAAGTTGGTTGACAGTGTTCTGATATAAGTCAAATTCTTCCTCTTCTTTCTTTCTTTGATTTTTTTTTCCTGTAAATTTTCAATATCATGGTCTAAGTTTAGTATCACTCCCAGCATGATGGTGAATTGCAGGCAGATTGTCACATCATAGGAAGCATGTTATAACCAGAGTATGTAGTGACCTGGGAATGCCAGAGGCTTGTGTACATTGCATATAAACTTAGATATATTTTAATGCATGCATACATAAAAAGATACACAAATCCTAAACCTTTGCCCAGGTGATAAAGAAGACTTGAGCAATGTTGGCATTTTGTCAGTTACAGTGATAACTCCACTGTGGAAGGCATTGGATCATCTCGGTTATCCCTGGGAATAGAAATAGCATTTCCAGTCAGAAAATTAGCTTCTGTCTGATCCTTTGCTTTTATCCTTCATACATTGTGCAATAAGATCTTACTGCTTCCCAATTCTGTGTATTGACTTTAGCAAAAAAAAAAAAAAAATCCCCGATTGAAAGCATGAGCCATCATAACTCATCTATGTTGTAAGTTGGGGCCTTCTGGTTTCTGGTTTTTTCAGATTCTTGTTTTGTCAGTTTCTAAGAGAACACGATTCTTTTTAGCACTTTAAAGTCTCCAGCTTGGCTGGTGGATTTGTCTTTCTCGCTTCATTTCTGGGAAGTTTTGCTTCTAGAAAGTGTTTTCAATGTTTCCATGGAAGTAACTGAAGATGTAGTTTGGTCTTAATGGGCCTTTCTCCATTTTAAATGTACTATAACGGTTGACCCAAACTACAGGTTTGACCACATTGCCACCTGTCTTAATGATGATGTTGTTGTTGTTGTTGTTGTGAAGTGCTGTCAAGTCGGTTCTGACTCATAGCAACCCTGTTTAGAGTTTCTGAGGAGCGGCTGGTGGGTTTGAACCACTGACCTTGAAGTCGAGCGCTTATCGTACAGCTCCACACCAGGACCCCACCTGAAGGCCGTAAACTCAAGGCCCTAACCATGAAGTTCAAGGCCTTGATGGGCTAGTGTTATAACCCCTCATGCCCTTCCCCTACCTCACCCACCATACATTACCCAAATGAATTTCCAACTCACCCTCCTGGGATCTTGACACCTGTCTGTCTGATGTCCCTGCCTCTCAGGAACCAGCCGATGTCCAGCTGTTTCCTCTCTAAGTCTTTCTCCAGTAGGTCACATCATACTCCCACCTCCATAGAGAATCCAGTGCTGTAGCCCTGGCGTTCCCTGGTCACTTTACACATGCTGGTTCCAACATGCCTCCGAAAGGACAGGTCTCCTCACCTGCAGTTGCCATCGTGCTGTGAGTGCCGGTGGCAGAGATTGGATCGGATGTCGTAATGTACCCTGTGCACTAGGGTAGGCAGTTCGTCTGTAAGGAACAAGTGCCGAGTGGAGGAGATGCACTGTCTCTCTCTTCCCTGTCCCTGCCCACTCAGGATTTGGGACGCTCAGTGAGCTGTAGCTGCAGACACGTGACGGCCGGACTGCGGGAAGACAGAGAAGGGAGACGAAGAAGCTGTTTGCCATTAGAGTTCCCCAGTTGAAACGTTGGGAATGGAGGTGGTGGTTGAGGCAGCTGCCGTGGAAGGTGGAGGCGGTACCGCTGCTTCAGTTGGACAGTGGCCTCACCTGTCGGGCCCTAGGGGTCCTGAAGCCTGAAAACCGTGGCTGCCCTTGATGGCTCACCTCAGTAGTAATGGTGCCTGGGCGTGGATGGCCAGCATGAAGCGTGAAACTCAGTCTCCTGGCATGCTGTAGTCCTAGCATTTGGGAGGTTTCCAGAGGAGAGAGAGAGAAAAAAAGAGGCCAGGGAAGAGGGTGGTGTCACCCAGGCCAGAGCATGGAGGCGCTTGGAGCTGGGAAGGGGCTGGCTGGTCTGCAGGAAGTAGACGAAAGCAACTGCTGAGGGAAGTGTGTCCTCCAAGGAACCACCAGGGTGGGAGGAGGTACTGGCCTCCAAAGGTGTGAAACCCACCCACCCCAATATTATCACCACTGTCTTTGCCCTCCTCCCAAATCCCCCAAATCCTCCTTCACCATCCTGGTGGGCCCCACATGAGTTTCCTTCTCCACAAACACCTCCTGTGTAAGTCATCCTGGCCGGAGCTAAGGAGTGTGGGGTGGGGCTGAGAGAACAGCGGGGCTCACTTTTGCTCCCCCCCTCTGTGTGCTGTGTGCCTGGAAGGTAGTGAAGACTGACCGAGACAGCCTTGTCTCAGGTGTACAGATTTTAAGGGAGTGGTTGGGGCCAGGTGAGGAGCCCCAGTGAATGAGGGCGCTGCACACATGCCCAGTCTGAAGGGAGGAAGCTGCACTTGCTCACCTGGTGAGAGTTTGAGTGAGAGAGTAGAGTTTTGGCGAAGCAAAATCACAAATCTGGATACTTCCATTAGTCGCTGCTCTCTAGGCTAAGGTTCACGTTGTCCTCTGTGAGGAGAGACTTCTGAGACCCACAAGTGCCAGTGTGGGGAACTGGGACTAGCCACTGAGGCAGGGTTTTAGGTAAGTGTAAGTAAGACCTGGTTAGACTTTAGTTTTAAAGATGAAGGCAAAACGAAATCAAGGAGGCAAGAACTTTGGAGAGACCGAGGACTCTGGGTCTGTGGGAACTGTGGGAACCAATCGCAGGAGTCCGGGCAAGTGGAGAGTGGGCACTCACTTAGGTCTGTGTAAGGGGGCACTAGCCCATTCTTGCTAGTCACTAATCCGGTGGTACCTGAATTCTCCTAACTTCAGGAGGAGGGATCAGGATCAAACATAGCTCACTCTCAAGCTTTTGCCCTTCTGTGACCCACACTCTGCTTCTCCGCTGGCTTCCATAATTTGTTGCAGTGGCCACACACAACTCAGACAACACTCATGATGTGGTTTCTTAGGGAAGTAACAAGAGACAATTCAGGAGACAGGACACGGTTCTTCAGTCAGGACAGCTTCCAATCAAGAGAGCTCTCAGCTGCTTCTCTGCCATGCCCACAGGCAGGCCCCTCTCCTGGGCTTCACTAGACCTGGCCTCCTCAGCCCTGTTCAAACCAGTGTTGAATCTTTTTAGAGCCACTGACACATGCCCAGAGGCACTCGACTCTGCTAGCAAAGCCTCTGGCCCCAGGTGCTTACTCTACTGCTTTAGGGATCGGCAAGCCTACGTCAGTCATCTCACACCATCTCCAGTGTACAGTTTTCATTGTCCCAAGTCTAGGAGGTTCGCAGGGCAGGGCAGGGGTTCAGACCAGCTCAAACCAGTTGGTCCCTGGCCAACAGAGCATACATATTGCATAGCAACCAAATCTTTTACTCAAGTAGAAGACAGCAGCGCTCGACCCAATGACAGTGACCGATCACACATTCAGAGCAACGCCGTTGGTCACCGTCCACTGTGGACTCGGACTCGGAGTGAGCCTGTGCAAACAGAATGAAAGCCCTGGCCGGTCCTCGTGCTCACAGTTGTCATGTTTGAACCCATTGTTGCAGTCAGTGTGTCAGGGAGGTCTTCCTGTTGTTTGTTGACACTCTTGTTTTCCAAGCGTGCTGGTGCTGTCCTTCCCCAGGGACAGGGCTCTCCTGATAGCACGTCCAAAGTACATGAGACAGTCTGGCTGTCCTCACCTGGAAGGAGCGTTCTGACTGTAATTCTTCCGAGACAGATTGTTCGTTTTTCTGGCAGTTTATGGTAGGGTCCTCATTATTTGCCAACACCATAATTCAAACGCAGTACTTCTTCTCTGGTCTTCCTTCTTCATTGTCCGACGTTCACATGTATATGAGGTGATTAGAAATACCATGGCTTGGGTGAGGCACACCGTAGTCCTCAAAATGACAGCTTGTTTTTTAACACTTGAATCTTTTGCAGCTGATTTGTCCAAGGCAGTATGTTATTAGGCTTCGTAACTACTGCTTCCGTGGACATGGATTGTGGATCCTTGACAACTTTAGTCTTCCCTGTCTGTGAAGTGCCATCAAGTCAGTGCTCACTCATAGTGACCCTATATAGGATTTCCTCCAACCTTGTGGTTAGTAGTTCAGTGCTTATCCTACAGTGCCACGCCAGGACTCTGGTGTTTCCTGCTCTGGTCAGAATCCCACTGGCAAGAGATTTGGTTCCTGTGTAACACATAGGAATGGAGCCGCCTCAAGCTGGTTTGTGTAACACATAGGAATGGAGCCGCCTCAAGCTGGTGTGAAGCCTTGGTGCAGGAACCCTGGGTCCAAAGACTCCAGGCATTTCCTGATGGTAGTGAGGTCCCCTCAGTGGGCAAAAAAGGCACATAATTTGCATTGTAAATTGACCAATCACAGTGCAGGCTGTGGCCCACCCAACTATTTTTGGCTGAATTATACCCCAGACCTGAGAGGCCACATATAAGAGAAACCTATTGCATGGTACCATCCAAGAACATGTCCCCATAGAACCAGAACGCCATTTGTCAAAAGAAGCCAAAGATGCCAGTTACCTGAAATTTCCCAATTTGTAAATGCTGGCTCTGAATTTTTAACTTTTTAAAAAAATACTCTGGGTGGGCCAACAAAACCTACAGCCCCTAGCTTTGATTTCTGCTCTAAAGACGGGTCTGGTGCTTGTGGGTCAGCATTTTTTCATTCTTGCATAACAAGGACTGTGAAGTAGGCATGGAAGCCGGGCTACCTGGCCTCGGGGTCCACCTAGTCTCTGACTAGCTGTGAGATTCAGAATCTCTGTGCCCTACAGCGGCTTAGAGTCATCTCCCTCCTGGTAAATCGCTCAGCAGTGTCCCAGGCCCACCATAAGTGCTGTATGCATAGCTGTCCTACTTGCTGTCCTTCCCACAGTGGAACGGAGGCGGAGGGACAAGATCAACAACTGGATTGTCCAACTTTCAAAAATCATTCCAGATTGTAATGCAGATAACAGCAAGACGGGAGCGGTGAGTGGCCCCTGACCCTGAGCCCCATCTGGGAACCAGACACAGGAACTGCCCTGGGGTGGGTCGGTGGGCCAGTGCTTACTCTGCCATCCTTGCCAGAGCAAAGGCGGGATCCTGTCGAAGGCCTGTGACTATATCCGGGAGCTGCGTCAGACCAACCAGCGCATGCAGGAGACCTTCAAGGAAGCTGAGCGGCTGCAGATGGACAACGAGCTCTTGAGGCAACAGGTGGGTACAGGACCTGGAGCTGGGTGGGGGGCGCCAGGAGCCCGCCCTCTCCCTGCACCCGTGTCCTTGTCTCCCAGATAGAGGAGCTGAAGAATGAGAATGCCCTGCTTCGAGCTCAGCTGCAGCAGCACAACCTAGAGATGGTGGGCGAGAGCACTCGGCCGTGACAGCCCACCCCAGCGTGCGAAGCGGAGCCCCTTCCCCAGCCCTTAGCACAGAGAGGGACAGATGCCCCTCCCCCAGCTGCGTTTTTTTATAGTAGATTTTTAACAAAAAACGGGGAGAAATAATGCATTTCTGTGGATACAGCCCCCATCACCCACTTGAACTTGGAAACAACATCTTCCCCCATCTGTCTGTCTGTCTCCCCTCTCTCAGCCCCCATTAAGTCCTGGCACATCCAGCCCTGCCTGGAGGCAAGAGGGAGGAGGACAGAGCCCCCGCATAGCCCGCGGCCTCCTTGGTCCCTAGAGGTGCTGAGACAGGGTGCTTATGGGAAGGAGGGGAGCCTTTGGGGGGGGTCCTCCCCAGAGCCTGGACCTAAGCAGGGAGGCCATGTCCTACCCCACCTCTTGTTTCCGGATCCCTGCTCCCCTTTGGGTGTGTGTGTGTGTTTTAATTTTCTTTATGGAAAAAAAAATGGACAAAAAAAAATAGAGAGGTATTTAACTGCAATAAACTGGCCCCAAGTGGCCCCCGCCTTGTCTGTGTGTCCATCCATCTCAGAAGTGGGTGGGGATGGGGGAAGCTCATGTTCACAACCGTGTGCCAATCCCTGGTACCCAGTGTGCTGGTTGGATGGAGGATGGATGTTCTCTGAAGCCCCAGGTGTGTGTATGTGGGGCCGGGGGTCAAGGACAAGTGTCATGTTGTTGGGGGAGAGGCTGGGGTCTCCCATGTCAGCAGTTCCTAAACTCAGGACTAGCTTCTAACCTTCCCTTTTAGGCTGAAGCCCTCCCCCCGGGACCAGCCAATGGTGGGGCCTGGCCTTGAGCCCCTCACCCCCGGGGAGGGCCAGTGGCCAGGACACCAGGCTTGGCCCGGCAGCCTGTCGCCTGTCACTACGGCTCTGGCGCCGCCGGTGCCATGACCCCTGCCCCTGACGGATGATGAAACCTGGGCTGAGTGAGATGCGGTGGCGCCTGGCTGGCCTGAAGGATGCCGCCGTGTCTCCCTGTGACCGTTACCAGGGTCTGCCTTACTCCACAGCCCCCATTCACTTCCATGCAATCCCGGGGGCCACAGCTGCCTTTCAGGCCCCCTCTGTGAGCTCTGCCTCCGTGCCCCCCGAGCTGGCTCCAACTGGTCTCTTCTTCGTGCTCTTCTCCTAGACCCTGGCCTTGCCCCTGCTGGAGGCCATCTTTGAGGGAGGGTATGGTGGACAGATAGAGTCCTGGTCTGGTGGTGTAGGATAAACACTCATCCCTGAGGTCAGTTAGAACTACAAGGTTGGTGGTTCAAACTCACCAGGCACTCTGGAAACCCTATGCAAGGTCACTATGAGTCAAAACTGACTCAATGGCACTGAACAACAATGGTGGACAGGAGACTGAGGGAAGGCAGATAGTGGGGAGCAGTTCTTTCTAAGGGTTCTTCTGTTTGGTTTGAGACCAGGAAGAATTATTCATTCCTACATGGTAATGAACTGTGGTAGTAGGGTTGAGGCAGATTCGGGGCGGAACAGCCATCGGCCACTGTGATGGCCTGGCTAGGGAAGACTGAAAGCGGCCTCAGTTCAGCCTCGGGTTGTGGCAGTGGTGTGCTGGGGCACCAGCACTCCCAACCAAAGCAAGCTCTGGTCTATAGTGTTTGCAGATGGTTGGGTGGAACAATCCTACCACAGCCAATTTCCAGGGACCAGCATGATGCCCTGAAAAACAGCTGGGACGAGATGGGAATGTTCTGCTCTCACAAGCCAGCTCTAGTTCACCTCTGCACCCCACAGTATCTGCTGAGAGCCCCAGGATGGAGAAGAGTGAGGTCTCAGAGTCAGGCGACCCAGGCTCAATTCCCCAGCTCTGCCTCCAGATGGGTGAACTTAGCCAGGGCCTATTCTTTAGTTCCTCTTCTGTAAAGTAAAGCATGTCAGAGACTGAGGGGGCTGGAGGGCTCCTAAGAGGAAGGAGGGCTGTGTGGCTGACAAAGCAACGTAACCAAAATCAAACCCGCACCATCAAATCAATTCTGACACTAAGTCTGTACTGCAGCAGACAGCCTCACCTTTCTTCCACTGGGGGGTTTGAACCATTGACTTTGTGGTTAGCAAGCCCAGCCTAATGCCCCTGAATTGCTCAGGATGGTGCAGGTAGCTGGGAGCTGCTTATAAAGAACCAGTGGCCAGGCTGAGTTAACACAAGTCAATCAGTACATAAGCTTGGGAGCACACCTGGCATATAAGATGCATTCATTCATTAGATAGTAGTTACTACAGTTCCTGCTTAGCTTTTATGGTCGAAAGGCCCTGCATACATCCTCCAGACACTAGCACCACTTTGACAATTCAGAAACACTGTTGAGTGCTAGAGACTCACACTGAATGTAATCCCAACATTCCAGAACCTATGCGTGTATGAAGAGAACCTGATGCCTTGGGAAGCTCCCCTAAACTATGTCAGGCACTCCTGAGGTTCCCAGTAGGTGACAGCCCTCATCTGGGGGTGAGGGTAGGGAATGAGGGTACCTTGCGGGTCACAAAGCTATTCAACTTTTGGGGTGGGGGGAGAGTAATCATTCTTCTGCAATCAATAGGGTGATAATCACATTGAAAGGGTTCCCCAGGTGGCTGGCTGGAGGCACATGTCTGAGGCCCTGTCTGCCCCACCCCCTGGACACACCTCCACTGGCTAAGGTGACATAACCCTGTTCCCTGTCACTCTGTTCCCGCTTATCTCTCCCACCTTTTTGGCCCCGCCACCTTCTTGGAAATGAGTCAGGACAAAGGGGAGGGGGCTCAGCACCCCCGCCTCTCCAGCAGTCCCCATAAAAGTGCCTGTAACTGGGTCTCAGATACCAGAGCAAGTGGCGAACTGCACAACAGGACAGCCCGCCAGACGCAATGGCAATGAGCACTCAGACCCAGGCAGCCTGCCTCCTGTTTCTTCTCCTCACCAGCATGACAAGTGGCTCGGTTGTCCCCTACCAGGTGAGAGCCTACAGGACCAGGTTCCTAGCAGGGCAACAGGGACGTGAGGGCTAGACCCTGGAGAGGGGACCCCAAGGAGGTCCCCAAACCCAGGTCAGGGAAGAGGGCACTGGCTTAAAGAACAGGGATGGGGTATAGAGTGGCAGGGATTAGGGGTTCCACTTTGGTAGCGTAGTGGTTACGAATTGGGATGTGAACCGCAAGGGCAGCAGTTCGAAACTACCAGCTGTTCCGCAGGAGAAAGATGAGGCTTTCTGCTCCCGTAAAGATTTATAGCCTCAGAAGCCCTGTACAGGGTCGCTATGAATGGGAACTGACTCCACGGAACCGACTCCACGGCACATTAACAACAACGAACTAATTCCACAGATATTTGAATGTCCATTTTGTTGTTGCTGTTAAATGCTGTTGAGTCGGTTCCTACTTATAGCGACCCTATATAGGGTTTCCGAGGAGCAGCTGGTCGGTTTTGAACTGCTGCCCTCATGGTCTACTTTGTGCCAAGTGCTACTCAAGACATTGGAAAGAAAGCGACAAAACAAAGTAGATTTTTGTGATATTTACATTTTCATCATGGAATTAGCCAATACACAACATGAAGAAGATGCTTTGTGTTCAGGAGCATGCTCTTCATTTCATGAGTAACAAAAGAGGGGGGTAGAGTGATCTTGGTGGAGGTGGGGGGTGGTACAAGAGCCTAGCAGTCAAGCGTGGCTACTTTGTGAAAAAGTGACGTCTGAGTTGAAGCTTGGATGTTCCAGGCAAAGGGGACAGACACATCATGCCAAGACTGGAGGGGAGGACAAATGGCATACTTGAAGAACAGACAATATACTAAGGGACAGAAATGGTATTTGGAGATGAGGTTGAGGGGTGGGTGGGCAACTTTAAAATACAGAAAAATGTGGTCTGACTAACAAGGCTGAACGTTACTCTGCTGTGTGGAGAATGGGTTGTGGGGGGCACGCAGACGCACTGGCTACAAGGTCGTGGCCGGTACCCAGGCAGGACTGGAGTATGTCCTGAAGAAGGGTGACTGTGGAAAAAGAAAGGGACAGATCTGGGCTATGTTTAGGAAGGAGAGCTGCCTGTGGGAAGTGAGAAAAACCAGAGAACAAGGTCAGTCCTAGGATTCCAGCTGAGCGATTAGATGCCATCCAAGGGGTAGGGGCAACTCGACCATCTTCAACACTCCCCCTTTTTTCACAGACAACACAGCTTGCAGACCACCAGGCTCAGAACACAGTTGAAGCCAAGGATGGCTGGACGGTGAGACCACCTGGAATTTCCTTTTCAGTCACCCTCCCCTTCTCTCCCCTCACCCTTTCCCTCCCAGTCTCCTAACTTCCATCCAAGCCTCCCTCACTCATTCTCCCTTTCCTCCCACAGCCTTTGCTCCAGGGTCGAAGGAGGCGAGATACCCACTTCCCCATCTGCATGTTCTGCTGTGGCTGCTGCCATAAGTCAAAATGTGGGATTTGCTGCAAGACATAAAGCCTCCCTGCCCTGCCCCTACCCTTCCTTATTTATTCCTCTCTCCCTCCAACGCACGCTCCGTGAATGGTCTTGGAATAAAATGGCTGGTTATTTTATTTTCCAAACTGAATTGTCTGTTGCTCTTTCTTCCTGCCGAGGGTCTAGGCCAGAGGTCAGTTCTGGCCCCTGTCTCCCAAAGTTGGGTGTGTGGGGGTGGGAAACTTTAGTGAAGCAAATTTGTTTCCTTTGCCTTGTTTCTTCTGTTCAAAAGTCTTGGAAATGAACTTGCCAACAGCAGGGGATGAAAGTCAAATCTGGTTACCACAGAAGTTTCAAACTCAAATGCCTAGCAAGGGTATTCTAAGTGAGACCCAGGAACTCCTTCCAGGGATCCACAAAGTACTAAGATGTCATTTGCCTCTTTCATTCCTGAGTATACACTGGAGTTTTCTAGAGGCCACATGATGTGTGATGACATCATCACTATGGCTCATGGACTGTGTGCTTTGAAACATGCCCACTTTCACCTTCAAATGTGTCAACCAACTACAGTGCTACAGTGTAGCTCTAACTCACTTAAAACCTTTTGGGGGTTCTCAATGATTTCTAATAGTGTAAAGGGATCCTGAGACCAAAAACTTTGAAAGCCACTATCCTTCAGGAAGGAGCTCTGGTAGTGTAGTGGTTACGAATTGGGCTGCGAGCCGCAAGGTCAGCAGTTCGAAACTACCAGCTATTCTGCGGGAGAAAGATGAGGCTTTCTGCTTCTGTAAAGATTTACAGCCTCGGAAACCCTATACAGGGTCGCTATGCGTCGGAACCGACTCCACGGCACATAACAACAACAACAACATCCTTCAGGGACCAGACAAATACAGTTGCTGATGTAGTTAAGTGATATCAAGTCAATTCCAACTCACAGTGACCCCTGTATAGGGTTTCCAATGAGTGACTGGTAAGTTTAAACCAGTGACTTTGTGGTTCCAACTGACTTTGAGGTTGAGTGCTTATCCAAGACCATGCCCGGAACTCCATCTTGAATTACATTCTCTCAACAAGGACTCACTTTGCACATGAAATGCCTAAGGAATATAATTCACCTCCACAAGGGTTTAAGTTTTCTCTCATTACTTCTTGAAAGCTGTATCCCTTCTCATTTTCCCATGTTTGATAAAAACAGAGACATAGTTAAGTGTTTCATTTTCTTCTTAGCTCAAAACAAAACAACTGCACTGATATGATAGTCCTGGTGTGGCGCCATAGGATAAGCACTCGACCTCAAGGTCGGTTTGAACAGCAAGGTCGGTGGTTCAAACTCACCAGCTGCTCCTCGGCAATCCTATACAGGGTCACTATGAGTCTGAACCAACTCTACGGCACTTAACAGCAACAGCGATGCCTCCATGTTGGGTATTTATAGGAAGTAGTGAGACCTGGGGCCTCATGCAAGGAGGGTTCCAGGCGATACCCAAATCAAGGCTCCAAAGGGCTAGATCTTCTGATTTTTCAAGTGGATGGTAATCCTTACTTCAATGTGAAGTTTTGGAATTTTTAGAAATATTGGCAACTGATTTAAAGTTTATTTTTCTTCTTTTTCTTAATCAACACACTACAGGCCAAACTAAACCAAACTGAAGTAACCTTTTCAGTCTTGTGCACCAACAGAAGTCTTCTGCCCCTGCAGCCTACTAGAGCATTTGTTCTCAGGGACTAGGAGGAGAGGTTTCCAGAACATGGACAGGAGGAGCCAGGACAGGAACCTGATGTGAAGAGCCCGCCTTCTATTCGATTAATTTCTGGTTGTCCAGGCAGCTCCGCCTACTCTGAAACCCCGCCTCCTTATCTATGAAGGGAGGAGACTTAGCTCATCTGTTGAGCTGCTCAAACAAGTGAATGAGTGTGAAATTGCTTTGAATATCATCAAATGCCCCATGATAAAAAAGATTAATACAGGTAGTTCCCTACTTACGATGATTCTGACATAAGTCAAATATCTCTCTTTTTCCCTTTTTCTTTTTCAGTTTCCTAGCCTGCTATAAAGGAGTCCTGGTGGTGTAGTGGATTACGCATTGGACTGCTAACTGTAAGATCAGCAGTTCGAATCCACCTGTCATTCCATAGGAAAAAGATGAGTCTTTCTGTTTCCGTAAGATTTACAGTCTTGGAAACCCAATGTAGTGTTGCTATGAGTTAAAATGGACTCAACAGCTTATATCAGCAGCAGCCACCAGCTATAAGGCAGTGTTTTGAACACTAAATCATTCTAACACTGCACATCTGAGAAAGGTAACACCAGTAAATTATGCATGTGCTGCAATATTATATGTAGTGCACATTACTAACAATAGGACGTACACACACAAAACAAACAAAAAAAAAACCAATAGTTCTGAGTCGTAAGTGTGATTCCTTGTAACTTGAATACATTGTAATGAGGACGCCCTGTGTTGAGAGGAGAGGGTGGTAAATACCTTGTTGTTGTTGTTGTTGTTGTTGTTGTTAAGTGCCATCGAGTTGGTTCCAACTCATAGCGATCCTGTGTAGGGTTCTGAGGAGCAGCTGGTGGGTTTGAACTGCTGACCTTGTGGTTCATAGTCCACTGCTGATCCACAGCACCTAGGAAGTAGAAAACTTAAAATTGCTAATTACTTTTAATGACACCCAATACCCCTTGCATTTTAGCAAGTAGTTTTAACAAGGGTGGTTCTAGAGATGGGAGATGTGAAGCAGAGGTTCTCAAACTTTAGTGGGCATCAGAATCTCCCAGAGGGCTTGTTAAAATGCGATTGCTGGACTCCACTGTCAGAATTCCCCATTCAGTAGGTGTAGGATGGAGCTGAGAACTCATGTTTTTAACAAGTTCTCAGATGATAGTAATGCTGTGGTCCCAAGGGTTGCTAGACTCTGAGGACCACTGGTATGAAGCTATGAGTTCTGGCTGAGGGATGTGAGTACCTCTTGGTTGGACCAAGCTCCAGCTCCTACTCACGAGAGCCTGAGAGCTTACTGGTGCCCTGTGATCAGTGGTGCTTGCTCTGCATTATTGTTGGATGCTGTCAAGTTCGCTAGGATGCGTAGCAACCATACCTATGTACCACACAATGGTAACTTTACTTCTACCAACATAGACGTGGTTTTGTTTCTGACCATCGATGTGCATTCAATATTCTTTGCCAACATCATATCTCAATGGCATCCTTTTCCATTTTGCTTCCTAATTCTTTCATATATAAGGCAACTGAAAATACCATGTCTTGGGTCAAGTGCACCTTAGTGCTCAAAGTGACAACTTTGCTTTTTAACACTTCAAAGAAATCTTTTGCAGCAGATTTTCCCAGTGCAACACACCATTTGCTTTCTTGACTGCAGCTTCCATTGGTGTTGATTGTGGATCCAAAGCAAAATGAAGTCCCTGACAACTTCAACTTTTTTCTTTGTTTATCGTGATGTTGCTCATTGGTCCAGTTCTAAGGATTTTTGTTTTCTTTATATTGAGGTATAATCCATACTGAAGGCTGTAGTCTTTGATCTTCATCAGTAAGTGCTTCAAATCTTCTTCACTTTCTTCAAGCCTGTGTCATTTGAAATCCCAGGTTGCTAATGAATCTTCCTTCAATCCTGATGCCACATTCTTCTTCATGTAGCTCAAGGTCCTCAGATTATTTGCTCATATGATGATTTACACACCTCTTCTGATTTTAAACCAGGCAATATCCCCTCGTTCTGTTCTAATGACTGTTGCTTGGTCTATGTACAGCTTCCACATTAGCACAATTAAGTTGTCCTGGAATCCCCATTCTTTGCAATGTTATCCACAATCCAGTATGATGCACATAGTCAGATGCCTTTGCATAGTCAATAAAATACAGGTAAACATCTTTTTGTTATTCTGTTTTTAACCAAGATCTGATATCAGCAATAATATTAAAAGTACCATGGACTGTAGGACCAAGAAAAAGACTCCATTCTGTACATTAGCCTGAACACGTCCTCCTGTTCCAGGAACATGCTAAATCAGCTCATGCTGCCTTAGAATATCCTTTCACCCCTAGCAACAGCAAGAACTAGGTAAGTAATAGACAAGACAACCCAAGGCCAGATGCCAGATGTTTTCCTTATCCTAGCCTAAGAACAAAAGACCACCAGTACTGACCAATTAAACTGTACCATCTCATACTTTGCCAAATGCCAACCAATCCAGATATCGTAAAGCTGAAAAACCTAAGCTTGTTTGAAAACTCTATAAAAACTCAGCTAAGAAAGAGCTCAGGGCCTTTTCCCGAGTCCGCTGTGCCGGATACGGAGAAGGCCCAGGCTCGAGCTTGAATAAACAACCCTTGTGCACTTGCATCGGCCTCGGCTCCTTGGTGGTCTTTGGGGACCCTGAATTCTGGGTATAACAGGACTGCCAAAAGAGCAAACAAATCTGTGTAGGAAGAAGTACAGCCAGAATGCTCCTTGGAAGCCAGGATGGCCAGACTTAGTCTCTCATACTTCAAACATCTTGTCATGAGGGACCATTCCCTGGAGAAGGACTTCATGCTTGGTAAAGTGGAGGGTCAGCAAAAAAGAGGAAGTCCCCCAATGAGATGAATTGGCACAGTGGCAGCAGCAATGGGCTCAAGTGTAGCAACGATTGTGAGGTAGGCACAGGACTGGGCAGTGTTTTGTTCTGTTGTGCCTAGGGTCGCCATTGCTATGAGTCGGTACCAGCTCCATGGCATCTAACAACAATGATGACAATTCTTTGTTCCACGGCCTCTTCTGAATCTGGCACTCCTCTGCCTATGTATTGCTGTAACCCTTTAAAAATTATTTTCAGCAAGATTTTGCTCTTATTTGATAGTAATGATATTGTTCAGTAACTTCTGCATTCTGTTGGAGAATTTTCCTTTAGGGTAGGCTTGAATATGGATACCTCTCAGTTGACTGGTCAAATAGCAATCTTCCAAATATCTTGGCATAGATGAATGAGTACCCCCAGGCTTGCATCCATTAGTTAAACATTTCAATTGGTA